TGAGCCAAGGGTACAAAATATACGTCAAAGAATAATGACTTATAACCAATTATTAAAATATTATGGACTAAAGGATCACCAGGTAAATACATCAGCTATTGGAGGTCCCAGAGCTGCTGGATTGTTGCTATATAGAATAATGCTGCTGACTACTTGGAGTATTTTGGGCTTACCAGGGTAAGAAATTTGTATTTTAAATATTTTATGTTTCACTTTTCATATTGTAAATATCCTTTTATTTATCTATTTATAATTTTATAGATTTATTTTAAATCTTCCTCTTGTATTAATTGCTCGCAGAGTTAGTAAAAAAAAGGCTGAAGGTTTGGTTTATTTTCGGTAATTTATTTAGTGTTCATTTCATAAAATCACCATAGGCATCTCACCTTAATATTTATACAACAGAAGCGGTTCGCGGTTCATCTGTTAAAATAGAGGGTCGTGACGTTCTTGCTACGTGGAAACTTCTTGTTGCACTTGTTGTAACACCTCTTCTTTATAGCTTTTATACATTTATCGTTGTTCTTGTGTCATTTAGAAAAAAATGGATATTAAAGTGGAAAGTATTTGCCCCTATAGCAACATTTTGTACATTGGTAACAGGTAGTTATGTAACTATCCGATTTGTAGAGAGTGGACTTGATGTATACAAGTAAGTTCTATTCCTTATTATCGAACTATTTACAGTATTTAAAAAAAAAAAGGTTTAATTTGCAATATATCATTTTAATAGATCAATCCGTCCACTATTTTTATCATTACTTCCGTGGACAAGACCATCTATTGAGAATTTGCGTGCAGTTCGAGAACAATTATCTGACAATCTTACTAATTTAATTAACGAATTAGCACCGAAAATTTACCCGGATTTCAATGTTGATCGAATAATCGAGGCAGCTGAACGTTCATCAATAACTCCGACCAAAAGTTTATTCCAATCTCCGATTGATTGGATTGATGATAAAGTATTCAACTGGGATCGTCTTTCAGGAGATACATCTGAAGTGGACGATGTGCTTTTCTTTTTTGAAAAGAATAATGGTAGCGCATCAGGGCGTAGTAGAACAAGTAGTTGGGGAAGCGGATCGAGCTCTAGACTAGGTAGCAGGGCAAATTCATTTGTTGGAACTTCAGGTGAAGGATTTCGAGTTGAAGCTATGACGAGATTACCAAAGGACCAACCGTTTTCTACCGTCACCAGGCGAATAATGACATCAGTGTCAAACAAAGAAAATGAGGATGATTCAGGATATCAAGGGGATATGGATGACAGATGATTGGCCACTATGGTCATGTGATTTATTATGTAGCTTTAATTATACTTTAATTATATAAGCAATTTTATTGATTAGAAAAAAAATGGGTTTACATTTTTATTCCATTATATACCAATTTATAATTATCTGTTAAGACAGTATAGTAAGATATTTGAACGAATTGATTTCGTGTACATCTAGATTTCTATTAGTATTTTTGTTTAAACTTTATAATTCAAGATATTCTCTGCTATCTTGTATTTATCAGTGAACTTTAAAATAAGGTAGATTTAATCAAAAATATGGCAACCAAAATTTTAAAAAATTATGTAACTAATTTCATTTTTTTTGAAGTTATAATAAAAACTAAATTTATAAAGAGTTAATTCTATAATCAAAATAATATTTCATCCAAAAAAATATAATAATTGTTAACACGCGTGTGATTACCAATAAGATTGCTGCGAATAATAATATAATACTAGCTCAAAACAGAGGGTGGTTAAAACTAGAGATGTCACAGACCTCATATGCTATATCTAAGGTCTGATCCGGTCGAAAAATAAGTAATCGAACATTCATTCGTTCAATCTTTAAATATCCGAATATCATCAGCAAATTTAAAATGAATATTCGAATATTCACTGAATATTCACTGAATATTCATTGAATATTAATGATTATGAATAAGGGTTGTTGATTCGGAACAATAATGAATTAAGACAATATTATGAAGTTGAATAGTTGAGAGTTTAAATACACAAGCTAACAAATGAATTTTATACTTAAAAGTAGTGATTGGACCCGTCAAAAAAAACGCCACCCGGGTCACCCGCGGGTGGACCCATGAGTCACCTCATAGGAGGACTTTCGTCTGATTGGCTAATGTAAATCAATTGCCCGGGTAACTTATTTATACACTTTAAAGTACTTTTTTAAAAACGTAACGTTTCACTAATAAAAATCACCGCAAAAGCCACTTATAACTTCGAAACAATGTCTATATTCACTGTGTAAAATAATCTCTAAATCATCTTACTCCTGACATACTTTGCTTAGAAGACAAAAATGCTATTTACAAGTAGAATTGCAGGCTTATGTGTGATTACTATATGCGAAAAAAAGTCTACTAACTGGAAAATCATAACTCAATATGTTATTTCAAAAGTGCAAGCTAACAATACTTTACCTGATTATATTAATATAGGTGACATGATCTGTTTAAATTGTTATAATGGAATCATACAAGGTTTGGCTAGATTTCAAAATGTTCAAACTAGTATAGATCAACCTGAAACTAATGAGTTTGGAACTACAAGTGTTAACTATATGGAAAGATCTGAAGCTAATGAAACTGAGAGTGCTAACCTTTTGTCTTTTTCAAAAGTGATAGAGGTGATGATAAATATTTTATATACTTATGAAAATAAAAAAAAAGAACCAACTATATATACATTTGACGAATTCCAAGCAGTTATAGAAAGAAAGGATGCTAGATTAAATTTTTTTTTTGATGAATTATATCTTTCATCTAACCTGACATCAAAAAATAAGAATTTACAAGTAAAAATAAAAAAACAACTTGTTTTTGTACTATTTTTTATATGAAATTCAAAATAAGTTTGTTAATAATTTTAAAAGAAATATGGCAATGTATTTGGATTCAACTAGCACTTCTAATATTTCTATAAATACTTTTGCAGATTTAGGTATTACTGTTACATCCTGCACAATTATATGAACCAAAAATACTGCCTCTGAAGAACACGAAGAAATTATTGATACTGAACTTTCCAAATACACTGATAAAGCAATGGTGTTAAATATTGATAATTATCATAGTATTCATACAGAATGTATGCCAAACACTACAAGTACTTGTTATCAGTTATGTTGTAGATGATAACTGATTATTGTTGAGATATAATGTAGAGCCTATACCGCAAAGCGGCACGGGCTTCACATTATAAATCCTGACGATAATCAGATTTGTTATTTGCAATTTAATTGATAATACAGTTATTCGATGCTTCTGATGTAAGCACTAATCTTTTTCATATATATATAATCACTTCCTAATCACGTTTACACTTTCACTCACTTTCACTCTCAAATACTTTCTTTCGTATATATATTTTTCTAAAAAAAAAAAAAATATATATATATATATTTATATATATATATACTTGAATAGTATATGGATTTTACTTAAGCTTCACAGCTTTTAACCCAAAAAGAAATAAGCCAACTACAAGATGCATCGCTTGTGACAAATACTAAAAAAAATACGTCAAAGTGGATTAGAACTTTAAATCAGTTTAATAAATGTTGCGGTAAAACCAAAACTATCGAATTAAATGATAGTATTGATGAGCTTGAAACTTACTTGTATCAGTTCATAACTTGGTTGAAGAAAGAGGATAGTTCAGATTATAAGGTGGAGTCAGTTTACAATTGTTATAGTGCTATTAATTGCTATTAATTAATATCTTAAAGAATATAGTATTATACAACTGATAAAAATCTGGAACTGTTATAAATTTCCTCGTGCTCTTCATACGCATGATAGTGAAATGAGATTGTTACAAGCAAAGGATTGGGCGATCCAAAAAAATCAGATGAATTATCTTTAGAAGAAATTGAACAAATACTTAACCACCTATATATGGACATAAATTCAAATGAATCACTTTACTACTGTGTCTTTTTTTAGTTATACATACTATGCGGATTATGTGGTGATGATGTATATCATCTTAACAGAAGTGATATTTAACGCCATCATGATAGTAGATTGGAACTTGTATTAAAAAATAAAGATGGGGCTTTTTATTGAAACAAATATGAAAAAACAGGCTTAAGGCATATTCATATACTTCTTGACTCATACACTAATCAATATACCCAGTTAAAGATATTCTCCTATTTTTATCTAAATTATCTGAATCATTATTATCACAAAATTCATTGTTTTACAAAATCTGTAAAAGGCAACAAGGTAAAGATTATGTATATACATACTATATATAAGGCTTTTATTCTAATTTTTTTATATTGATATTAGATTTAAAAAAAGACCATTGGTTTAAAAGCAATCGTATGGGTTATGGCAAACTTCAAAAAATAATAAATAATATCGCAACAAGTACTAATATCAATTTTGATAATAGTAGATTGATTACTAATTACTCTTGTCATCATATTGCAATTCAACTTTTAAAGAACAATAGTGTTTCTGAATCTGAGCTTAAAGCATTTTTCAGACATTGTTCTTGTGAAAGTTTGGCAGATTACTGCCAAACTAGTGATAATCAACATATAACAAATACCACAATGCTAATTCCTTTTTTATTACAAGATCTCGATTTGGATAAATATGAATATGACAATTTTTATGGAGGATTTCTGGATGAAGAACTAGATTCTAATAATGGGCCTTATAGTAAGAATTTGTACAATAATGATAATGATAAGAATTTTTAAACACTTAATTTATTTTATATTTTTTTATTTTTATTTACAGATATAAATAATGGTTCAGTTCAATCAATTTCTACAATTTAAGAAAATTAAGCACAAAATTTGATCAAAACTTAATTGCTACAGACTCTTAATATTTAAACATAACCAAAGAAATTCTATTATCAACTTAACTTCAAAGTAATACCATCATATATTCTGATTTCACGGCAAAAGAAATTAAAAAGTATATACAAAAATTTTACTAAAAAAATTTTTTTTCGAATAACTAACAATTTTTTTGCTTTCATTTACATGTTAAATAGCAAGCCAAGTTTTAATAATACCAAAGATGAAACTACACACAAATAGTAGCCCATACCCAACTTTATCTGTAATTAAACTCTTTAAGCCACTATATTTGCCTAATTCACTAATGCTTGAATCGTACAGAAAATATAGAAAGCTATTATCTAGTGTCAATAACATTGTTATTCAACTTCTTCCGAGTACTTCGCAAAGTTATAACCCAAATATAAACTTAAAAATAATTAGATTTTATTTTTATATATTTTTAAATTCATTAATAAATTTAAAAATGCTTAGCTTATTGTGAAATTAATGATATTTTAATATAAATTGACAAAAATTTGTGTATTGCCAAATATAAAGTGAGCGAAAATTTGTGTATTAGTGATTAGGAAGTGACGAATAATGTATATGAAAAATGTCAGGTGCTTACATAGAAAGTGTCAGATAACAACATCTACCACTACACACTTGGCAACAATTCTTATCAATCCAATTACTAATCAATCTGCGATTCTAAAAAGAAATTTACACAATCTCGCACTAGTTGATGCCGAATTAATCAAAATGAATATAAGCAATAGATTCATAATGTATTATGGTCTTTTGCACAACAATCATTGGAGATTTCGCACAGTTAATGACAATACAAGATTGGATGAATTAACTATGCATGGTTATGATATTAGATTAAAGAAAAAACAATATATTCATTCATTGAAAGATGTTATTCTTGTAAATTTGTAAAAAAATAGACTTCATACTTTGGAAAAATATATTAAAGCAATTAATGTAGTTACAGGAGTTCCATCTATATAGCAATATATTGAAAAAGAATATGTTATTCTTCTCGTAGCTGATTGGCCTGGGCAGATTCATCTTCAAACAGCTATTTCATGTTATTTATATTATCATGATTTGTTGAACACTACTAATGATGTTTTATCTTTTCTTTCTATTATAGGTTCTTTGCATATTTCGTTAAATAACCAAGAATTAGTGTTTATTCAATATTGGCTATTCATTTCTGCATTGTATCATTTCATTTTTGAAGACAAAAAACCTCTCTCACAAAATCCTAAACCATTACATATCAATCTTATTTTAGAGATTTTGCATAGCACATGGTATTACTATATGAACTATGTAATTTAATTAATTGCATGTGAAATATAGAGCTATGTTTTAACTATCTATATCTAAGATCTACCTATACGGATATATCTAAGTATCTATAGTATTTTCAATTTACCCTCGATCTAATTCTATCAGAAGTGATTACAAGATCAGCCCGATTTTAGGTTCTTGTATACCCATTTACAATTACCTTTTTGCAGTTGCCAAGGTTCTTATTTGCAGTTGTGACCAAGCTGTTAAGTCCGTCATTTAACATCCCAGATCTTTAATCCTGTGGTATAGAATTTTATTAAATATGTAGTTCTCTAACATTTGCTTATTGTCCTATTATTTATATTTGATAATTTGCTTTGTTTTAGTATGCTTCTGTATACTTTGACGTAAAAGGCTATGAAATATCTTGATTGTAAAATTAGAAAACTTGAAAAGTTCTGTCACTATTATCTCTAAGATAGGATAATTGTTTAATTCCCAGTAAAAGATATTAGAAAGAAACATTAATAGCACCTTTGAATAATTTTTGTGACTGAACTTAAAGAAAATTGTCCAAACACAAAAGCAAGATTCAAAATAAGTACTAAAATCATCCGATTGAAAAATAAAGCATAAATATCTAAAATGAGAGGAATTGTATTATCTAGAAGATCTTTAAATGCAAGATATTTAGCATCTTTATATAATGATCCAAACTTCAATTCGACAGTTGTAGAAATTTCTTGCTAATACTGTATAAATTAATATATATTAAAAATTTAATAAAGCATTGAGACCAAGATCTCACCTTGATAAAAAAAAATTATCAAATATATATATTATATCAACTAATTATGTCTTGGTGATAATGGCTTTAAAAAGAATTTTGTACATACATTGCCATAAGCAACTTATAAATATTCTGCACGTGATATTTTAATTTTAACAAAAAAAACTTTATATTTTCTTTTGCAATGTTTTTCTAAAATTTACATTTGATTATTTCATTATAAAATTCTATTAGTTTATCAATTATAGGTCGATCTAGAACCACCTTCTAAAAAAAGGAAGAGAAAACTAATTATAACACAATCTTATTAGCCGCAATGAAAATATCAGAAGTACAATTATGCCATCTTCTTTTGGGGTTTAGTACTTCTCATAAACTTGATCCATTTCATTATTGCAACATATCTAATTGTTATTTTGCTTTTTTATTTGTGAATACAGATATGATTATTGCTTTAGCTTATAGTCATACATATCACAAGCCTTGTTATATTAATAATGGGTCCAAATGTACATATTGTCTCGCATTTTTGCAAGAAGGTATTGATGAAAAAGTTCAATCTTTGCTAGGATATTTAAAAAGGCTTAAAAGTTCTAGCAAAAAAAAAAAAAAAAATGCAATAATAATTCTTTTTGTGATGATAATAATCATAAAAATAAATTAGTAAAATATTCAGGATTAGAGTTAGAAGAAGTATTACAAAAATTTTGCTTCTTGTGCTATTAAATTTTATTTATTCATATATATATATATATTTTATTAATTATTTAATATTTATTAAATTATTATATAATATTATTAAATTAAATTATTATATATTTATTAAATTAAATTATTATATAATATTTACTTATTAATGCAAAAAAAAAGTTGTAAAAATAAATTTATAAAAAGTTTATGTTTACAAAAAGTACTTTAAAATGATCTTTAAATTTAAAAGTGATAATTTGTTATAAATTATAATTTCTTCTATAGGTTACTTATTAGCTATTTATTAGTTTTTTATATATTTAGATTAGCTCTTGTCAATTTTTATATAGTTATTTTATAAGTTCTCTTATCATAGTATTCTGACTGTATATTTTCATCTATATGTTAATTTATATATAAATTTTTTATAAATTTATTTTTACAACTTTTTTTTTTATTAATAAATAAATATTATGTAATAATTTAATTTAATAAATATGTAATAATTTAATTTAATAATATTATGTAATAATTTAATAATATTAAATAATTAATAAAAAAAATATACAGTCAACCCCCTCTATAATCACATGTTTTGTTTACTAATAACTTTTTTTAAAAAATGTGCTTATAAAGAGATTGTGCTTATATAGAGGTAGTTTTTTATATGTTTAATAGTAATTTGGTTTTGAGTATAGAATGTGATAAAGAGGGGTTTTTATATGATGTGATTATAGAGAGGTGACTGTAGAGGAGGATAACTGTATATAAATAAATAAAATTTAATAGCACAAGAAGTGAAATTTTTGTAATGCTTCTTCTAACTCTAATCCTGAATATTTTACTAATCCATTTTCATAATCATTATCATCACAAAAAAAATCATTATCATGTTTTTTTTTTTTTTTTTTGCTAGAACTTTTAAGCCCTTTTAAATGTTCTAGCAAAGATTGAACTTTTTTATCAATACCTTTTTGCAAAAATACAAAACAATATAAATATTTGAAGCTATTATTAATATAATAAGGCTTGTGATACATATAACCACAAGCTAAGACAATAATCATATCTGTATTCATAGATAAAAAAGCAAAATAACAATTAGATATATTGCAATAATGAAATGGATTGGGTTTATAAGAAGTACTAAACCCCAATGGAAGATAGCATAATTGTGCTTTTGACATTTTCATTGTGGCTAATAAGATTGTGTTATAATTAGTTTTTTACTTCCATTTTTTAAAAAGAGTTCTGGATTGACCTGTAATTGATAAACTAATGAAATTTTATGGTGAAATAATTGAACGTAAATTTCAGAAAAATATTGCAAAAGAAAACATGAAGTTTTTTTTATTAAAATTAAAATATCATGTACAGAATATTTATAAGTTGCCCATGGCAACATATATGCAAAATTCTCTCTAAAGCTATTATTATTGAAATGTAATTGGTTAATATAACATCTATATTTGATAATTTGCTGTGTTTTGGTATGCTTCTGTGTACTTCGACATAAAAGGCTATGAAATATCTCGACAATAGAATCAGAAAACTTGAAAAGCTCTGTCACTATTGTCTTCAAGATTGGATAATTGTTTAATTTCCAGTAAAAGATATTTAAAAGAAATAATAATGGTATCTTTGAATAATTTTTGTGATTGAACCTAAAGAAAATTGTCCAAACATGAAAGCAAGATTCAAGATAAGTACTAAAATCACCTGATTGAAAAAATAAAGCTTAAATATCTAAAATGAAAGGAATTGTGTTATCTAGAAGGTCTTTAAATACAAGATATTCAGCATCTTTACATAATGATTCAAATTTCGACTTGATAGTTGTGAAAATTTCTTGCTATGTGCTATGCAAAATCTCTAAAATAAGATTGATACACCATGGTTTAGGATTTTGTATATGAGGTTTTTTGTCTCCAAAAATAAAATGATACAATGCAAAAAAGAATAGCCAATATTGAAGAAACACTAATTTTCGCTATTTAATGAAATATGCAAAGAATCTATAATAGGAAGAAAAGATAAAACATCATTAGTAATGTTTGACGAATTATAATAATATAAGTAATATAAAATAGCTATTCGAAAATGAATCTGCCCAGGCCAATTGGCTATGAGAGGAATGATATATTCTTTTTAAATGTATCACCGTATAGATAGAACTTCTGTAACTACATTAATTGCTTTAATATAT